GTAAAGTAAACTTTTACGGGCCATGAACTAAACTACCAAACGTTAAATTTCCTCCTCCCTTCTTTTGTCTATTAAGTAACACTAATACTATTTCTTATTTTTTATTTATGTATATATATATATACCGAGTTTCACCTCTTTTATCTTTAATAATAAGTTTATCATAATTTAGAAAGGTCAAATTTCCTTTCTAAGTTCAATCATTTTCTCTCCACATTCTTTTTTTTCAGTCTAGTCTCATAACTACAATCTTAATAAATTCCCATTTGCAGAATTTGACTATTTTCTTTTAATTGTTTTGCTTTCTTTTTAAAAGCATCTACAATTTTCCGTCTATTATCAAATCTCAATCATTGTGATCTCTCATTTTTTCCACATTTTATGTGCTCGTTCAATTTCTATTTTCTCAGCGTTTTTCATTTTAAAGTTCAGTTCATTGAGTAATGCCTTTCTTTTTCTATCTGCACAATTTTTCTTCTTTTCCTTGTTCGTTTATTCCACAGAAAATCCGATTATTTCTTCAGTTTCGGCTTTCTAGTTTAAGTAGCCCAGTAATTCATTCTCTTTCTGTACAATTTTCATTTCACATTCAGTATTTCGAAAATTTTGTTTAGTCATTTATTTATTTTCGTACGCTTTACATTCCTTTTTCAATTTCATTTTTAATTCCTCCTTCTTTCCCCAGTGGGACAGCGGTAAGTTTACAGACTTAAAGCACTAAAAATCCGGAGTTAAGTTCCTCACTATGAACACAGCAGATAGCCCGCTGCTCTAAAGCAAACAATTCCTCTTTTACATCATTTATGCTCCCATTTGTTATTTAGTTCCTGTGTTATACAAATAAAGTTTTGATCCTTATACTTTTCAACTTAATTTAAATTTTCATTTCCTGTACCAACGGCAAGTGTGCTACCATCGATACCTATTCTTGACATTGTCTTGAATCTTCGAAGGTGACATGTTGTTGTTTCTTGGGGTGTGACCACTGAAAGTTTCTTACTCTCATTTCGTCTATATTTTGTTGTTTACTTTTCTTTGGAGGTCCATGATTCTCTCCTACATCACCCGATATTATCAACATAATTATTCATGTTAACTTAGAAACTAATGTTCGTTTAGTTGTACAAAGTTTTGTTATTCTATGCACCAAAGAACAAATCTTGTCGGTTTAAAAGTTATTTCACACACGTCTGATCTCTTCTCGACCATAACACCCTCTTTGTTACCATAAATTTATCTATATATGACTAAAATACTGTTCTAAATATTCTGTAAATTATTTTCCACAGTTCAGTCAAATTGTCTGATTGCCGGATAACCTTCACAGTTTACATAAAAGCACGGATAGCTTTGACAGTATTCACATCGTAACTTTGCATTTCACGCCACAGTTGCGAGTGCCCCATCGGCCTTTTTTCTCTCGAATATTGTTTAACCAGATTTACTGCATGCTTGAAATAACTATCTTACTGGAAGCTTACTCCTGCCGACAGGCCGTGTTCCTGAGGGAATGACATGATTAATAAGAATCTGACCGTACCTGTCAGCAGTCAAGGTGCCTTCAATTTTGTGTGATCTCCAATACTAATGGCTGAGATACAACCCACACTTGTATTCATACCATAATATGCTTCACTGTAAATGTTGTACGTTGACCTTGATACAGTTTCCCCTCTCTATCATCGAACATGCTATTGTTGATTTTTACTAAACAATTTGAATTCATCTGTAAAGATCCCACTTCGATCTTTGTTCACCCTATTTTTTAAGTCTGATTTTGGCTTTGTTATATGTTGAAATGAGAGGATTTTGATCAGCTACACATACATTGCTGGGCACTTTGTGCTAATATGCGCCTTACCGCTCTTTAGGTAGTATTCACATATATACTTATAGCTAGACCATTGGTAAGATCTCTTTTGGATTAAAGTGTCTCACGTAAAAAGCATAAATTAAGTTACTTATAACTTTTGAATATCTTAGGTTTTCTACCTCAACAGCTTCTATCATAAAAAGTATTAATTTCACGTATTCTCTTCAGAATTTTCACACATGAAATTTCGTCTCAATGTGTCGTATAGCGTAAGCTTCACCAACTAGAACTTCGATTTCTGTAAGTTTGTCATATGACATTTCTGTTATGAGTTCTCTACTGCATTCATCACACTACTGCTGAAAATAATGATTTCTTTTACAGGCTTTATGTTGGTGGGGTACTGACTAATTGGTTGAATGACGCCCGTTTGTACTGTATGTAAAGTGTCAAAACCTAACTGTACTCTAAAGTTCATTTCGTATAGTAGAGGGACGGGGAGGCAATCCTATAATATTTGTATTTTATACCTATTTTACTAATTGTTTCCATAAGTATTTCCAATACGGATGTTGTTTATAATCGTAGTTTAAGAAAGGACTGAAATTATCTGACATCACTGAAAGTTTCATAGCAGAGTAAGACATGCCAAAGTTCTAATGCTCGGCAATACTGCCTTGAAACAACATTTCGGGTCGCTTCCGCAGACTATATATATATATATATATATATATATATAGGAATATTGACTGGTAGGTGGTTTTCGGACTTAACTAGGACAACTTCGCGTGAAAGTTCAAAATTAAATGGTTCTATCTCTCAACACACAATATTCGCTATTGTTTGCACTATTTGAAAAATGGCCGGACATGACTTATTGGCTAGCATGCCGGACTTTATATTGGGTGCGTTATAAAAGCGACAGTCAATCCCACTATTTGATTAAGAACAACTCTAATTGACTAATTTAAGTTTATAGAAATATTTCTTGTAGCTGTTCAAAATTAAGGACTGTTATACCTAAACTTTGGAGTATCTGACCTGGCTGTGTCGCTTATGGTGATTTTAAGGTTGAAAATACCAAATACAATATTTCTAAGAGAGATGTTAGGCGCAAAACATAGGGTAATAAGAAATCATTATTTTCTGGAGTAATAAAGTTTTCATCCTTTTTTTGAAAAATATTATTTAACAGTTCCTAATAAAATATCTTTTTTAGGCACATTATACTACTGTATGCCAAAAGTAAAAAAAAAGAAAAAAAGCACACTGAACTTAAAGTACTTGAATAATTACAAAACGGATCTGTGTATAAATACAAACGATAAACCAATCAACGTGTCCTACTGGGATAATTGTTGGTCGTAAGTATTCCATTAATTACTGTTTACCTACTCTCCTCACCTTGTCTCCTGAATTATCATCAAAAGTATTAATTTCATGTACCATCTTCGGAATTTCCACACGTACCTTACTTATCTTGTCTCCTGACCTTCTTGTTTTTAAAAATGACCTTTCCCATTAAATAACGGTTGGAGCTTAATATAGGCTAAGCAAACACTGTATTTGCAAACCCTAATGATGGAAATCGTGTTACCATTATCCACGGGTCAGTAAAAACTAATAAAAGTATATTTTGTTGTGCCAAAACATGTAGGTTTTGTTTCTTATTGTTAATATCAGTTCCCAGTGCATTACTGTATATAATGACGATTAAAAGTTCATTTTCTTCCAAGTGAAACGGAAGATAAAACGACCCCCACCCATGATACTTTCCAAAGGGAGAACTGAACAAATTCTTTGTACTGGTATTCAAAATTACAAATTGGAAAATTTTGATAAATTCATAGTTTTAAGATAGATCAGTATTCCTTTTTTCTTCAAGCGCGTAGGAGTTTCCACATAGCTGACGATCAAATACTGCCATTAAAAGCTTGGTGTCTTGAAAGGAGATGCTCCCCAAAACAGAGTGGCTGATGACATATTTTAGTAAACAGAATATGACAGGCTGTGGCTTCATGGTGTAATATAGACAAAACTACGATTAATCTTAAGACTTGCACACCCTTGTCGGAAAAAATGCTCTAGTTTTCATGGCTGACAACCGTCAGGTGGTGATAAGTAACTGACGATCTCCACCACAGTGAATATTTCACAATAATGTATTTGTTTAATAAACATATACACTAGTTTTATTTTGTGCAAACTAAGATATTTTACTGGTGAGTCACACATACTTCTGTCACTTACACATAAAATGCTTGATAACTTGCACTAAGTTGTGTGATAAAGAATCAAACAAAAATGTAAACTTCGATATGGGAACATTAAACGCCACTATGCAAAATAAACACAAGAAGACAAAAAAAAAAAAAAAAAAAAAAAAGCTGAATACAGTAGTTTGTAACCAAAGTTGTTGGCACTTGAAATATTTATTTCATGCAGTGATTTTGTGCAGTTTGATAATTTTACTGAGTTTTGAAGTACATTGGTTGATGCGTTGATTATAATAGCAGGTAGTATTAAAGTTTTGTTCGTAGGTTGCAAGAGAAGAACTCCCGCATAGCTGATTAAGTTAAGACTATACTTGGTCTTGAAATCCAGGAACTAGTGATATGTAGGTCGAAACACACATAACACATGTACTTCTTTTAGACTTGGAGGACATTCGACGAGCCAACGAGCACTTTCTCCGAATCAGACAGACGGCAACTTGCCACACACCTGAACCACACGTTGTGAACATCAAGGACTATTATCCGGACCCCAGCAAGAAACATCTTCCAAGATGTACCATTTTACACCGATGTACAGAAAAGACTGGATGCTGTGATGATGGAGTGAAATGTGGGCCTAAAGCTGTTCAAGAAGTTGCTCTGTACTTTTATGTGAGTATAAATTGAGGTCTATGATCAGGTTACATACGTTAAGATTTATAACAGTAAATAACACAGTTTTACTTAAGTGACTTATAAGCGTTCATCTCTTGTTCATTAGTGATCCACTATATCCAAACTAAAAGATAACAGAAGTTATTCGAGCGGTTTGTTATTTAACTACTATAATTAGTAGAATGGCTGTACTTATGAACAGCAAATCTAAGTTTTTATACTTTTGTTTTATTTTCATATAAAATTTTTCTTTAACACAAAGAACAATAGGTTTCATTAACAAGTCATCCCTCCAAGGTTAGTATTGCACTGAATGATACGATGTTATTGAAGTCTTGTACAGAACTTGAATTGAATGAAAGAAAGGTTGTTTTTTTTTTTGTTTTTTGAATTTCGCGCAAAGCTACACGAGGGCCATCTGCGCTAGCCGTCCCTAATTTAGCAGTGTAAGACTAGAGGGAAGGCAGCTAGTCATCACCACCCACTGCCAACTCTTGGGCTACTTTTTTACCAACGAATAGTGGGATTGACCGTCACATTATAACGCCCCTACGGCTGAAAGGGCGAGCATGTTTGGTGGTACTGGGATTCGAACCCGCAGACTGCGAGTCGAGCGCCCTAACCACCTGGCCATGCCAGGCCTAAAGAAAGGTAGGGATTATATTCGTGTGTTACAAGTAACTGATATCCCGCATTTAAATTTTTCTTATTCATTTCATCTTTCTCAGATATCCACATTTCGCTCCCACACGTAGTTGCATTGTTTATCTTAGAAAGTATTCTACTAAAGGTTAGCTATATTCCTCTCATGGCTATTTGAGTGATGCTGAAGTTGTGCAGAGAAAAAATATTATCGTTAAATACGGAAATTTTCAACACTTTATTAACAAAGTAAATTATTTGGTTATTTTTACATTAAGTTGCATTTCAATTATTCCAAGACAGCTATACGGCAAGGGATGAGTTCTAACCTTGTACATTTTGATATGCATACAGTACACTTAATTACTTATTCAACTGACGTTTTGTGATTCGGACTATAAACACGGAGAGCCATTTAGAAGAGGACGCCATCAGACATTTACCAGATCAATCACTGCAAATAAGATACACCTGTAAACATTTAATAAATATATTATATTCTACGTTAATAAATGGACTTCACTGTAAAAGTGTGTGTCGATCTTGGTTACATTAATGATATCATAGAAAACAAGAGATGATAGGAACAAACAAGTCCTTGTACACCCAGTTTTACAAAGCCTTTAAACATTTTTGGCCGCGGCATAGCGACTCAAAGAATGGCTCCGAGTTTTTTTTTTCTTTTCAAGTACAAAATGTTAGTTCATAGCCTCATCTCTTGACAAATTTGAGATCTAATTATAGCCGCGGCTATTGATGATTTCCTCTTGATATTTATTACTTTAAGAATAATAGATAGCAAAATTTTTCCGCGTTCCCATTGAGTCTAACTCAGAACTGAATAGAATAAACAAGAGTTTAACTTATAGTAAGATGTTATCACTTGAAACTTACATCCGCGATGAAAAAGAAAAGAAATGGGCGTACATTCTACTCGGCAAAACTAATCTCAATTTCGACGACTTGCATCGAAATATGTCTCTCACGGTCTCCAAAACATAAGGACCAAAGTGATATTGAAACTTAATCTAATAAGAAACAACACATAACATCTGAATACAAAGAGGATATTTTAAAGTTTCGATGGTATTAGAATCTTTTTTACAGCAAGGAATGTAATGTTAAGAGACAATAAGTAGGGAGCATTCGTACAAGCTTTTCACTAACTTCATCTGACCACAAGAAAACCATTCAGAAAAGGTTGAATGAAATATTAAGCGTTAGGGTACTTACAATCGAAACCAGTATTAAGATATTTAATTAATACATGAAACCGCCAGGACTTAGTTAAACTCCATAATTACAAAATCAAGAAAAACAAAAACGAGCCTTTACTGGCGAAACTATAATAAATATTCCATAACAAATGAAATATTTGTGAAACGTACAACTATCTTTGTTTTCTTCAATTCTATTGAAATATTCTTTGGATGTGGCATATTTTTATTACTTGAGTTCGAAAATTATATTTAAAAAAATATAAAAAAGCTACATCTACGTTGCATACATATTAAAGTTATCTTTTAAAACAACCTTTAAACAAGACTTTTTGACCTCTGACGCACTCGCGTTTTTGCCCCTCACTCTGGCTTTTTATGACCACGCTAGTTGCTTAAGGTATGAGTAAATCTAGCGTTGACCTGCAGTCATGTGTGTTATCTTGCAAACCTAAATGTATAAATTATAAAAGTAAAGCTTACAATATAAACTTTATTTGAAATGTTTTCAGAATGTTTGTTTTTAATCAAACGACGGTTACACTTGAATTCTGTCTGGTTGTTTGTATAACTAAATAACATCTTATTTGGAGGGAGTGAAATACACTAATATTCACCAAATGATTTGATTGTGCCCATGTGCTGATTAGTTACTGTATGAAATTTTAGCAAATGACATTTTCACGCCGAACTAATAATTAAATAAGGTACAACCTTCTAACGTTTAAATATATGAAGAACAATCAGTGTCGTAACATCACTTTTTTTGTAAGAATTTTACACAAGTCACACCACGGTTATCCGTGATGTCTAGTTAACTGGAGTCAGTCCGTTTAAATAATTATAGCTATTAGCTTGTTCTAGTTTCAGATCCTGCACGAAAAACACAAATCTTTTGATACAGCTTATCCTACAAAACATTGTTTAATACATAGCGTAGTTGTCTAGGGTAACATGTGTTTGAATATGCATGTTGTACTGTTTAGTTTGTTTTTTTATAGGGACGTTGTTCACGGATATATATCTAATTAATTATGTAATATGAACCTTAATGCAATAAAAAAAAAAGCTTGAAATAGAAAGAATAAGAACGGGTAAGTATCGAGAAGAAATATAATTTAAGAATCAAGAGATGAGAACAAAAAGAAGGGATGAAGAGAGAGAGAGAGAGAAACAGTTATATAGAAAATGCCCATCGGTTCACATACACCAATTTCTGGAAACGCATCTTTAAAATAAAACCACTGGAAGGTATTTCGTATACTTTTCTCAACTGTACACTTCTATGTGTATTATGAACCACGATAATGGTTAATAAAATATTTTAATAACTATTTTAAACGGTTGTTTAAAATTGTTACTTAACTGTTACTTCATTTAGAAAGGTGCAATAAAACTAATCTTACAACAATTGCAAATTCTAAGTTATAGTGCATTAGCTAGTTAATTAACAGTTTATTTCTATTTCAGGAACTATTCACCTAAATAGCCTTCTACAATTCTAGATATTTACTGTCTGTAACCAAATTGCTCGAATAACATGGCTAAAGGATTAATCCCGTTAATTGTATAGAACCTTCTAAACAATGATGTCGTTTCCAGTTATTTTTGTATAACAGTAACTCATGAATCGATATCATTTGCACTTTATATGTATCGTTAAAAGGTTTTGTAACTTTGAGTAACATTTCTCCAGTTGGTTTGTTAAACTTGTTAATTAGGGTAGGACACGCTAACCCAACATAGAGTCTGGGATAACATTAACTCTTGTATTTATAAAACTTACAAGTGTCCTATAATTGTATGTTAATGTACTTACGTACAGACTCTTCAAGTTCGTAAGGAAGGCACGTATGTTGGGCTTAGTAACGCTGTGGAAAAATTACTTTTCATCAACCACACAGAATGTGAATGCCAACCCATCAACAGGGAGCCACGTGTAGGAGAATACCCGGAATTGCATCCAGCTCCGGAATCTTATCGGTTTCAGAAGAAGATTTCTGAACCGCGATCTCATTCTGTTCTCGACAATCCTTTACGTCATCCTCCTAGTCAGGAAGAGTCGAAGTAAGTCGAGATTAAACTGTATTTTGAGTTTTATGAAATGCGTCCCAAATCCCCCAACACTACTAAATTTTGAAACAAAAGGTAATGTAGAAGTCTCTCTAGCCTTGTGATGGATATATGTTTTGGTTTTAGTATTACGTTACATTATGGTTTTCATCACTCAAATATTCAACAGCGTTTTGTTAAGTTGGCTCTGTTAGTTACCAGCAATAACTTCTAAATTATTGAATATGAGAACGTAAACTGTTTATTAGACGTTAATTAAAAAAAAAGTTATAAAAACCAACGTTTCAGTAGCGTACAAATACAAAAGTGTTTATGTGTAGGCTTATGTAAAGCTGGTTTGTGTTAGTATATTATAGTTCAGGCATGTAATGTCCTCTTCCACATCTTATCGACGTTGCGCGTGTAACCGCATGGTTGGTTTGAGCAACTGACACACGTGTAGCACAGAATGCATAACTTTTGGATTAATTGACTGGATAGAAGCCAGGAGTTGCTCAGAGAAAAATGCCTAAGAACTCCCCCTGGTACTAACATTCTTTTTGATATTTCATGCAAAATTCTCACGCCCTTTCACCTCCTTAAATTTCTTTCACTATTTCGTTATGGTAATTATCAGAGACAGATTATATTTTTTTTCCGACTTGACTGATATATATTTCTTGAGGGTATCAAATCAGAACACAAATATGTGACATTAAACAAATACAGTAATATTTTCTTTGTATTTCAATATGTCGTGTTGCTACCATTTTCTTTGATTTCCTAATATAATTAAAAAAATACTCTTTCATAGGAATTTAAATAATTTACATACACAGCCATTCCAATGGTACTTTCTGGTGTGATTTAATTTAGTCTAGAAAGTTCAGAAACCTGAGCTACTCATGTAGACCACTTGTTTATTTAGTTCTTTAACTGTTCAACGCCCGCACGTGAAGGCATTACCAGCTTTTGGCTCATTTTACGCGGTTAATGTTGTTGTTCATCGTAAATGTCATGTTGTATATAATTTATGAGAAGGGTTTTTTTTTTTTACATTTTTTATTAGTCTTTGTTCTTGCTTGGTCCCAAGGTTCAGATTTCGTTATTGGTTATTCTTGTATGTATCAAAAAATCGTTCTTAAAGAAAGTAACAATACATATAGTGTGTTTCTGTGGATGCTAAAACTCTTCGACTGTCGCGTTGGTTTTCATCACACAAGTGTCATGAGGAAGCATTCTTTCATTAAAATATGAAATTTGGAAGATAGACAAGAAAACAAATTACCGGTGGAAGACTAATCGTGCTGGAGTTTACGCACAGGATTCAGGATGATCCTGAGTGGATAAAACACCTACTATAAAGATCCTGTATACTAGGTAGTTATGCCAAGATTCGTGAACGATACCAGGAAGGATTCTACCTGCATTCAATATACTATTCTAGTTTGTTTGTTTGAATTTCGCGAAAACCTACACGAGGGCTATCTGCGCTAGCCGTCCGTAATTTAGCAGTGTAAGACTAGAGGGAAGGCAACTAGTCATCACCACCCACCGACAACTCTTGGGCTACTCTTTTACCAATGAATAGTGGGATTGACCGTCACTATATATTGCCCCACGGCAGAAAGGGCGAGCATGTTTGGTGTGACGGGGATTCGAACCCGCGACCCGCAGATTGCGAGTCGAGCGCCCTAACCACCTGGCCATGCCGGGCCGCATAAAGTAAGATTGAGCGTACTAGGTTTTCAATGCCAATCACAATAGGTTTATACTGTTCATGTATTGGTATACAATGAGATACCTCTGAAATATTTGCTTATCCTTCTTTAAAAGTGACGGATATCAGTAAGTCTAATAGTTTTTTTCAACATATTTATTTTTCATCATTGCGAAAGAAATTAGTTTCAGTTACTATTAGAAAAATAAAATCAGTAGATATAAAATCAACTTATTCCCAACATAATTAAAATCGTTCTTTATAATTCTATTATAGGCGCTTTCCATAAAAAAAATTGCTTATAAATATAAAACTGGATAATAGAACCAACAAGTAGTCTTGTCGAACATTTGTTTCAGATAATTTGTACTAAAATCCAAAATGTTCTTTTTTTTTCTACACTAGGTGTCGAGAATGCCCCTTGCCATTTTACAGACGAGAATACCCGGATGGACGATGTAGTTGCGACTGTTTTGATCATCATAAACCGTGTCTGCGGATAAAAAGGGGTCGAGACCCATTATCAGATATTGAAAAAAGGTAATTATATTTGGAGCTTAAAATATTAATTTCACATGGCCAAAGCTCATTCCCCTGAAAGTTTTAATTTCTTTATTAATTAGAAATGTCCAACATAAACCTTCATTCTTATGAAATTTCCAAAATCATGTAGATTAAATAAAAGGACAATTTTTTTACACTTTTCGCGATACAAGTTAATTATGTTCTCCACAAATGAATGTGTTTTTAAATTCAATAGCCTGTTTCTGAATCGTCTATTAAGATTTCAATAACTGCAACTACGGTCATGCAAGTTTTTTTTAATTATTGTGAAGGGATGTTTTACGTGACATTTTTATTATAATTTGGCAACAGCAAGATTTAAAGATTTTAAGGCAGTAAGATACATTATCTATGCTATATATTACATGTGAATGTCGAAACATATATTCTTCTGTAGCTCTTCTGACTAACAGAACAACTCCTGTTAAAACCTATTTGCTCAACAACCTGTTGCGCTCGTGTGAAAAGGGATTTTTAAGGAATTAGTCGGCAATAGTGTTGCTCAAAGAATATATTGATTCTGGAGATGATCAGGATAAGTGCCTTTATGGTATTTTATACGTTGCTTAAATTCTATGCATAACTAAGTTTTGAATGAATCAGTTAAATTAGCGCCACACGTGGCGATAAAGTTACCATTAATAAAAACTTCTCTCGAATATACGGGGTGAAGTGGTTGAACAGAATTCTTAAATTTTTTATTACAGTAAGAAGATAGAATATTTGGTTTTAATGCAGATTAGGCTTTTTAGCTTTATATTTTTTTCAAACGATATTTTATCTTTTTTCTATGTCGCAGGTGTGTTCGAGCTCAAAAGTGCCACATTCCTGATTGCGAGTTTGGACAGTACAATTATTTAACAGGAAAATGCCCTAAGCGACCTCGAAGTCACAGGAAACAAAATAATCGCAAATATTATAACAAACAGCAACATTATCAAAGATGGGCCTTCTTCGAACGTGATTAACAAATAAAATAACATTATGGTATAGGATTTTGTTGTGTGAACTAGTCTGTAAAATGTACAATTTGCAAATTGTGAAGTTCACGTGAAAACCGATAGACGCTAAGAAGATCAAATTTTGGGGACGTTTCCTTTCTCAAAAGAGAGCTCAAAGTAAAACTGAAGTGCCAGGAGGAAGACGTTAAAAAATACAAGCTGGTTCTTTTATTACGAAAAAATACATAAATTGAAGTATTACGAAAAAATGTCAACATTTCGTTAACACAACGTTTATACGTGTTCACGTAACATAAAATTGTATATTTCCGGTTTAAAGTACGAACCTAACAAAATCTCCGTTTCTTATGTATTTGCAGGTTTCGCCTATACAAAATAGATATTGGTATTTCGTTATATGTCTTTTAGTTTAGTCTCATAATTATTGTGACAATGCTTTTATGCTGCAATTTGTTTCGAAAATTAAATATGTGTTTGTTTATGATGTGATTGTTCTAACAAGTCGTAAACTGCAAACTATTCCTTACAAGGAAATTTGATTGTTGTAACAAAGATATACAACTGTAGATTTCGGAACTATCTCTAATTCATCTCAGAATCTAGGATTTGTAATAGGTCAAACGCGTCACAACAGACTGTATTTTGTGCAAGCTCTATTAACTACAGTTAGTTTGGTTGGAAGAAGAAATGTTAAATCAAAGAGTAATAGTCATAGCCTAACTCTATATAAATGAAATATTTTAAACTAAATTTTCATGAGAAAGAAAGAAAGATAATTTTGCTTCCAGAAAACATACAGAACACCGGTATTGAAATAGAAGAGTTAAATTGAAATGTTAACTTCGGGTGATTCATCTTCAAACACATCTTATGCTATAAAGCTGGTCGTGAATGTGAAACACGTTTTGAAAACTTAGATTAATAATGTATTACACACACACACACACACACACACACACACACACACACACACACACACACACACACACACACACACACACACACACACACACACACACACACACAACAATCTAGTTTATTCAATTCACCACTTGTCAATAAGTTATACTCATCAGTAACCTTGGACAAGGCAAATCGAAAAAAAAAAGTCGAAGCACCATTACATTGGCTTTATATTCATTTGTTGTTATCTTAAACTAAGTTTTCTGAAATATTTAGAAGAATAAATTAGTAGCATCATTGCTAATTATTCTTCAAATCCCATATAGATTCATTGTGGTTAATAAAATAAAAATGTAACACCAGAGAGTTGAGTATGTTATATTAAAACTATATTGCATATACAAATCAGCAAGTCGAATTACAACCACAGCCGATATATAAATCGCAGGGAACAAAACTTATCGGAACTAGATGAATATTTTTGGCATCAGGTAGGTAATGTGAGGACATCGAAAATTGATCTGTTATGGGGAAAATTATGTAACAACCCTCAGATCATGAGGATGTGTTTGATCAGGGTTTAGAATTTCCAAGACTGTTATATCCCTTGTACTTAATGGGATTGGGAAATAAATGATCACCAATCATTTTGATGATTCAGGACTGTCCAGAAAGAGACTTGCAACAAGTCATATCCCAGCTTTAGTAAGCAAATTGCGGCGTTTTTATAAGCGGAGAAAATCCTGAAATAAAAAGATTAGTGACAAGCCATCGAAGTGACCCAGACAACAGTATGCAACATAAACAAGAAGGATATCTGCCTGGAAAAGCAAGAAAAGTTGCTTTCATGACGTATCTTATTTCTTCCTTAGCGTTTGCTGCAGGCTACTTTCAATTTTACATAAATTGTAGGCCTAAGTTCACAAACAATGTTTTTACATAAAAAAACAAAAAAAACTGCGATACCAATGTAACTTACGCCTAACTGACAAATACAAACTTATTTTCAGAATTTCCTTGCTAATCGATCTATTGGCATCGAAAGGCAAAGGAATGTGGATACCGGTATCATCTAGAAAGAGACCTGCAACAAGTCATACCCCAACCTTGCTAAATAAAGTATGGCGTTTTGTAGTAGGTGAGCATCCACATACGCGAAGGTTAGTGGCAAAAACTGTCAACGTACCAAAGGCAGTAGTACCCAACATAATTAAAAAGGGTCTCCGTCTGGAAAACTGGAAAACGAGTCAAGTCACGTGTACACAAACTGTTTCCACAACATATCGGTTCCAGTTGCCGGATGCAGCATCTATGGATTTCTGTGCGATCGGATTGTTGAAACGGGTATTGGGAAACCGTTCTTCTCGAACACTAGAAGAGTTATGGAAATATTCTTCAATATGTAGAATATCTATAATAACTTGTGTATTACTGGGTTGGCAAGGGAAATTGTAAAAAAAAAAGAAGGTTGCTAAAATATAGTTTTTGTCATAAGTCTTGTAACTTGTCAACTTTCGTTGCAGAGATATAAGTATTTTTATCACTACGGTATACTGAATTAACAATCTGCAATGTGGTCACTACAGGAATCGAACCCCTAACTTTACAGTTATAAGCCTTCGAGTTATAGCTGAGCTACCGGTGAAGGCAGTGGCTTTGGTAAAACGTTTAGGAGTGTTTATATACTTAGCTAGTAGGATCGTTAAAAGTTTATTAGGACTGGTTCTTCAAAGTCGTTACATGAATTGTTCATGCCGTCATTCATATGATTTAAATATTTTTTAAATCAAATTCCTTTTCTTTAATATCAGAAACATACAATGCTTGGTACTTTAAATACTAATTCGTAAATTTGCCGAACTTAGTACCTAGCATTCTCTTGTCACTGCGATGAAAGTCACAAGGTAACGTACAAAACATTTTGGTGCATTTTAGATTTATGGAATGCGTTTTACATCTGTGATCAATCTGTGTAAGCCCTCTCGGTTAGTTTGTCGTTTATGTTTAAACCTAAAGGCTCCTAGCTTGACAACCTTAAACATGGAGAAAAAAGTATGTAATAAAATAAGTACGATCTTAATGCTTGTAGAGAAAGATGCAATTTTCTAAGTCGGTTTCTAGATAGGTCTTTTTTTGCTATGGGAATTTTGTGTTCATTTTCTATTGCTTATTTCTTAAGAAAAGAAAAGAAAACTTTTGTGTATACTTCACACATCGCATCTTTTAGTAACTTTATAGTACTTGTATTTAATTACGTTTTTCCATAATAAAGATAACATATACAAACTACCAACTACTAAGGCTTTCGGATCACATTCATTAATAGGCAAGACTTAGTGTCAGCGCACTTCATATGCGGGATGGTGGTGTAAACAATAAGTGGGTATAACTATGAAGTGATAAATTAAACGGAGTTTATCTCTCCCTAATGGGTTCTTGTTAAGCAGGGGAAAGAATGCTTAAAAAAAACACGTGGGGCAGGCTGTAATGATAGGTTTAACAGATAAAGTGAAATGTGTGTTAAAATTACTATTCGTGTCGTTATCCCGTTCACTAATCACCCCTACGACATTCACATATATATAATTCAAAACAATCATTACATCTCCTCGATTCTGTAGACTTATAAATATAATTCATACTTGTTAAGTTGTAAACAAAAGCTTTAGAACAGTAACTTCTAACTAGCATAATGGTTGCAGTAACGAAGAGCGATATCTTTCTTTTTCTTGTTATGTAGTAAAATAAAACGCTAGGTAAAGGTAAAATATTGTATAGTGATTATTATTACTTTACGATTTTAGCTTTTAAAACTTTACTCACGTCTTAGTTTTACTTCAAATTTAAAGATACAGAAGCTTTCCATGAAGGGGAAAAAAGTATAATTTCTATTATAAAGCTTCTTATAATACAGCAGGAAACGATATGTTAATAAAAAAAACTTTAGGAAATATCATGCTCAATTTTAAGTACTGATAATCCTGAGATAATCTAAGAGCAGTACTTTAACGTGGGCTGGATAAGGCTGGATGCCACCCTACTTTTTACGAGGGCCCGAAACCATCACTCTACCTTTTTGTTCTGTCGCTATAGTAAAAACGTGCGTGATTGTACGATCATTATAAATTTAGTTAATAAACTATAAAAATTCAGAATGGCTCTTCTAGGCTGATACATGTTGGCCTAATCTAAAATTATACACAAACCAATTAGGCTTTCTGATCTCTTATTTTTCAATTTCAAGAATTTTTGCAGATCATCCAACCATTTTGTTTTGAGCTTCACAAGTTTCACAAACTATTCCGCTTCTTCTTTTTCCCCACTTAAGCTCTGACTAAAAACTAATCAGGTACCAGAAATTCTACCATTTTAACATATATTTCTGGAACTGAAAATTTTCTAGAGTTATTTATTTATTTATGTTTTGGGTTAATTTTTAGGTTTAATGTATGTGATAGAACGGAGAAAAGCAAACAATCTGGTCTGTGATAACACTAAAATTGGTATTGTTTAAATTCTTGTATTATTAACATGAAGCGCGTATCAGTAGTACCCCGGCCCGGCATGGCCAGGTGGTTAGGGCGCTCGACTCGCAATCTGCGGGTTCGAATCCCCGTCACACCAAACATGCTCGCCCTTTCAGCCGTGGGGGCATTATAATGTCAATCCCGCTATTCGTTCGTAAAAGAGTAGCCCAAGAGCCTTTAATCGAATATCTTTACTACCAAGTGATTCTTTTTCATTACTAGAACATTAAGATGAAAAATTTTCACTGTGCATGTATGCATAACTCCCTCTTTCTCTCTCTGTATGTATATATATATATATATCTATATATATATAATTTACCAAGAGTTGATCAGATACGATAAATTCAACCATTTTAGTATATATATACAATATGCATTGCAACTAGTTATGGAAATAGTGAGGAAAAAATAATATAAAATGCAAGTACTGCTACAATGCCACCCATTTATGAAATGAATTTCAGCAGAGTATAGTAAGGTACTCTGCAGTGTGATTGGTTGACATCAAGGAAATCGTAAAATGTCACACCAATATAAAACCTATGAAAGTACAGTCGGTCGTACTAGTAGTAGTAGTGTGATTCCAGACATGGGTACCAGGACTGAAATACCTCAAGCCAAGCGTGTAGAAATCAAAGTTTTGGATTGTCAAGGATACTCCATACTAAAAAATGCGGCAACTCTATGTTTCAATGAAAGCTGTATGGAAAACTTCGAAGGATATACGTAAAACTGGCACTGTTAATAAAAAATGAAGTGGAAGTAGAAAACCGTAACTTTCCAAAAGTGATGTTAAGTATCTTGGAGTTATTTTATGTGCGAGATAAGTGAGGGTGGTATAAATAAAGGTGTGAATGTTACTTTGAGACACAGATTAACATGAAGTGGTCTTAATGCACGTATAGGTGTTTGAAAATCTGTTCAGAAGATTTTACCAAGCCAAAAGATTGAAATGAGCATTGGATTACAAACAGTGGAAAATTTTCCGGGAAAGGAAAAGTGACATGCTCGACACCTTTCAATGCTTTATAACAAACAGTTGAGCTTTCTG